CACAGCTCTATAGGTATAACAGATAGATTCTATAGCAGGGGGCCTCAGTGTGATAAAAACTGTCTTATAGTCATGTGCAAATGCATCAGCAATCTGCTGAGGTGCAATTTGCTTTCTTGCTGTGCGCTAAACTATTTTTCCAAGTTTTTGAAGTGTGTGCTAATATTTTAAAAACTCTTTACCAGTTATAGCAAAAGGCTTCAATGAGTGTCCCTAAATGCTGCCGGTGTTTTTGTGTAATGAACGTTAAGCAATGTCTCGCTGAATACCGTGAAATTTTATGGGTACATTTTTTCAAGGCTGCATCTGTTTGTTCTTTTCTAATTTTTTAAATTGCCATCATCTGGTGTAAGAAGCTTCATCTGCATATTTTTAGCAACATCTGGTTTAATGGATGAGTTATTTCTCTGTGTAAAGTGCACGATTGATGTAAACTTGTCCAGAGAGGCATGGAGCTACATCTTTTCAGAGGCACAGAAGCCAGTAGCTGGGGCATTGTGAGAAAGCTTAGCAAGTATTGATTCAGACATGAGTCTGGTTTAAATTCATCTGCTGGCCTTCAAGAAAGAGTTATGCTTTGCTCGATACTTCAGATAGCATCTTAGCAAATGTATATATAAAAATCAAGCACTGAAAGGAACAGAGATTTTTCTTTAAATCAGAATATACTGATTTATAGTGAAACTATACCTTATGGTTTTCACTTCTTTCTATGGGTTGTGCTAATGTAACTATTTTGAATGTGTATGGATGGATTAGAGAAGACAGTTAATGGACAGGATAGAGGCAGTTTCCAAAGTTCTGCTTAGTTACATGTCTGACTACCATTAAATTACTAAACAGTTAACCTGGTACCTTAATACATTCTGTCCTTTGAGTAATTTAAAGATAGTTAGGAGCCTGTTCAGACAACTAATTATCTTTAGCAGAGAAAGAGGGGCTTGAAGTTGTGAGAACTAGCCCAAATGTCAAGGTCCAGATTCTTCTACAGAATAATTGCTTGTGGATAAATAATCTTTGTTCCCAAGCATCTTCCACAAAAACCTTTCTCAGTCCAAACAGTAGCTACTCTAAATTATGTCTGTTTGGTCCTCGGTCCTTTCCATGACCAGCCTTCAGGTGAAAAGATGAGTCAGTAAGCTTGGCATAAATTTATATTGTTCAGTTGGATTGGCATGATAGGAAAGTCAGCAGTCTGCACAGGAGACTTTAAAAATCTCTTTAAAGGAGATTGTTTAAAATCCAACATATTTGTGTTACAGTGGAGACCAAGTTGGTGAATTGTAGATTATCATCATCTTGATAACCCAGACACAAAAGTCTGGCATAAGAGCAGTCCTCAGGTAGTTTTACTCTTGTTAGAACAAAGAAATGGGGGATTAGTGAAATTGTGAATTAGGTCTAAAATCTTTCTGTACCATCAGCACCTGATGTTAAAGTTTATCTCGGAGCAGAATGTGTAATTTTGAAATATGCCTATTCTAACAAGCATTTTAAGGAGATGAATGATCACATTAGTGATTTTCTTTAGAGCTAATTTATTTCCTTGGCCTGATTTGATTCGAATTTTGACCTTTTAAGTCTTTTGATTTAGATCCATTTAAGATGCTTCTGAAGGGCTTAAAAGACAATGAGAAGTCAGCAGCATTCATACTAAAAATACATAAACTGTTCAGAATGAAACATATAATTCCCACAAAAGCCGTATCTTTAGGGCTACGCAGTCCTCACTCTACAGCAAAGCAAAAATTAATAGAAATTTGTGGAGAAAATCTGCTGGGTCTCTGTCATGTGCTCTGCTCCCTTGCCTGTGCTCTGTGCTGCCTAGCCATTTCCCTGTCTGTGGTTTTCAGTGTTGTGCTTCAGAATTATTCTGCTGCCAAATTGACTCAAGTATTGAGAAAATTTAGATTGATTATCAAGGAAATGGTCTTATCCTGTTTCATCCTCTTGTCATTAGCAGTAACATTTTAAAGCACCCACACCAACTCTTCTTCTCTTCCCTTTTTGATGTGCTGTATGAAGGTAATTTCAGGAGGTGGGGAGCAAAGCTTTAGATCTTTTGAACTACAGACCGTATCTGATAAAGGATGGATTCTGTGATTATGAAACCAAGTATGTAATGCCTGTAATTTAGAAATCTGCTGCTGTTCTGATTTCTTTCCAGTCAGTCAAATTGTTAGCATCAGTTATTGGAAGGTCAGGTTTTCACTAATTAGAACAGATGTGCATCTTAAATTATCTGTGGAAAATATGTAACAAAAGAAATTCACGGTAAAGATTTTCAATGTGGCACTATCATGTTTTCACTTCGGCGGTAATTTTAGAGGAAATGGTGTGGTGTCTCTTACACTGTTTGAACTGATACGACTATTACCTAGCAAATTGGTATTTGCAAACACTTTGCACCAGTACCTGACTGCATCATTTCACCTGTAAGCTGTTTGCAGGGCCTTTTCCTCTGTGCATTTCAGCTTGTGAAGTGATGGGTAGCTGCTCATCCACTTTCCATCATAGATGCTCCCTTCATGCCGGACAAAATTCATAATTTTATCTGATAGTACATTATACAGTAAGTATTAATATATTATTCAGCAATCTTGTAGAAATAGTAATACAGCAGTAGAATTAGCACAGTAACAGAGCTAGAACAAGTCTCCAGCCTTGAAGGAGTGTTACTTTTAAATGTATCCAGCGCTGCAGGCTGCTAGCAGATGCAGTTATCTTTGCTTTTACTCTGTGTTCTGTGGTGGTTTACTACTGAAGGATAAGCAAAGCAGAGTTTATTACTGTGAAGTTTCTGTTAAATCCAGTCTTGAGTGCTGTTTTTCCGGTTTCAATGCACTGAATCTGCTTTCTTGCAATAGAATTTCCTCTCGGTTATGGGCAGACAACAGAGAACAGACGAGTAGCTTCAGCCATGGGAGGCTTTGGAGACATCTAGTTTTCCTTCATCTCATTTATGTTCCACTCTCTCAAAAGTAGGACACATCTGGGGAAAGATGGTATGGGAAGGAAACATCCAGACCTCCTGGCAGTTGTGTCTGTGTGAATCAGCAGGTTGGTTTGCACTGATGGAGATGGATGCAAGTTAATAAACCAAGTATGTCTTTGTTTACAGTAGTGTTCAAGAGAACGCACAGGGCTCCTCTCTGAGGAGCTGCCGATCTGTCTGGACAGAATGGAGAAACCAATCTCGGCATCAAGATGTTTTAAAATGCTAATCAGCTTGTATTCATTACCAAACACATGCAAATGAAATTAGAGTAAAAGCGAAAGAAGCAAAAGTGATGTTGTTAAAACAATGTGAAACGGAGCCAGCCTGTGATTTCACAGTAGTGCAGATGCACAGCGGGCAGCTATGGGGGGCTGAGCAGGAGCTGGGGTCACCAGGTCTTCAGTAATTAATCTTTCAAACACAATTTCCTTGACATGTAAGGAACTTCCAGTTTGAACATATGGACGGTTTTCCAGCACAGTTCAGTCTTCTATACATATTGTACCTGGGACACAGCTTAAACCTGATTTAACCCGCATGCGGTGAGGAGTACGTAGAGTGGCAGGGACGCATCAGGGTGAATGCTAACAGGGAATGATCCTCTCTCTTTTAAATGTATTTGAACATTGGATTTCCACCTGTCCTGAAATTGGGTTTGGGACTTCACGGTGATGCTTTAAATGTTGTCCTGTTGGTACATCCATGCCAATGTAAGGAAGATTTCTGCCCCAGGAGTGGCGGTGGGTTAGCCATCAGTGCTTAGCACATTCCAGTTCAACCTAGAGCTGGCTGGTTCTTTCTTAACAGAAAGGTTAGAGGAGATGTGTTTCATTGGAAATTGCTTTTGAAAGTCAACTACAATGGTGGTGGGCCCTCTGAAACATTTCAGAGTGTCGGTTGCTCCACCATCTCGCCACTCCTTGCCCAGCTATCGGCCATTGCAGGCATCTTCATCTTCATCTGGTTTTCCCACTGTCAAGAGGATCATATCCTTCACATAAGTGCTCAGCTAATCTGGAAATCATAACCCAGACAGATGTTCAGCTCTCTGTGATTTCTTCAAGTAACCGACATTGTTTGCATATGAAAGAGTTGTGTCTACCTAAGTCTTCTCTCCTAAAAGTAAATGGTTTTTCAACTGTAGCAGTTGATGTGGTTGCAGATGAAAAGTTTCTCTAATTACAGGTATGTCTTCTTGTCCCTTTTAACAAATACTAATTAAAAAAAATTATAACAAAAAATAAAGTTGCAGTATTCCTTTAAAATACATTATATTATTGGCAGTCAGATGAAAATACCTGGTTTTGTACCTATTCCTTGAAATATGTAGTTTCCACATAGTCCTTGGAATAGAGACGCTTTTTCTTTCAGTAGCTCAGGCACGATTTGCCTCTGGTCTGATTCTTATTTTTACTGTCTAATTAGAAATGCCGCCTTCTTCTAAATTTTTTACACTGCATAGAAAGGAAAGTATACACCTCTTTTCCTTATGACTTCATTAACCTTGACGCACTCCATAGGCATTACTGATTACACCCAGAGTGTGCAGGATATAGTGAGTTCATCAATGATGTAAGGACTAACTTTCATTTGACCTGAAATCCTTGCATGTGGCATCTTTAGCTCAAAGTCCTTCTGCTGCAGCTCTTTTTGCACTGTGTGATATTTGTGTGAATAGTCTCATTGGCTTTGATATCACCATTTGTGTAGTAAAGACTAGTCATTTGAAGGACATCTGTAGAGAGAAGGCAAGTGTTTAAATTCAGGGATTTAAATTCAGGGGTTCTGCTGGTTACTCTTCCTAAGACCAGGCTAGAGAAAAAGCACATTTCAGAATGTGACACTTGGCTCAAAGATTTTGATAAATGAACAGGGATTAAATTTTTTCATCTTAATTGTACATTTCTCAGCTTTTCATAAGACATTATGTGCCATGTTTATATTGAGATATCACCCATTTCCCTGAAAATTCGTTAATACAAAGTTGTTTATTATTTTTCAGGTGTTCAAATGAAACAGTATTCAAAAAGGAAGGTTTGTTTTGGGCGTACAATTTCTGCCCCACTCCATACTCTTGGACAGCACTTCTGGGCCTTATTTTGTACTTGGTTTTCTTTGCACCTGGTAAGCAAACACTTGGTTTTGAATATAAGTTAAAAAATTTAAAGATACAATGTTGAATAGTGAGGCTACATGTTAAATGTACTTTTAAGTCTAGCCATTAAACTGAGATGGGTCTTTTTTGCTTATTCTTAGGGATGGGTCCTATGCCCTGGACCGTCAATTCTGAAATTTACCCGCTTTGGGCTAGAAGTACAGGAAATGCGTGTTCCTCTGGAGTCAACTGGGTTTTCAACGTGCTTGTGTCACTGACATTTCTGCATACAGCTGAATATCTGACGTATTATGGTAAGAAACAGTGTGTGTCCGTGTATGCAGTACTACCATTGGTGCACAGATTTTCTGCTGATTCTAGGTCACTCAGTTGGTTTTGCTGTGAGATGTCCATGGTGAATGCAGTGTTCCCAACCCACCATGGTTTAGTAAGCCTAGAGACCTGATACGGCCTGCCTGGATTACAGAGTTTGGTCCAGCCTTCATAAGAAACTTTTCTTTCTGTCCTTAACTGAGAATCTAGAGAGTTGATTAAAACAGGGAAGCTGGAAAAAAAACACTTTTGACTTAGTGAAATATGCTGATGCCCACTTAGGGAGACAGTGTGCGCAATTTTCCAGCTTATGATGGCATCCAAGGCCACTATCAGATGGTCCTTGCAGAAATAGGTGTGTAAGATGCTACTGCCCCACTCTCAGCTATTGATTAAGACCTGTCTACTGGAGCCTACAGGGTTTGTCAGATTACTGCTCAGCCACTCCAGTACAAGTCATTTAAATTACATTAAGCTGCTAGGGAGTGGATGTGACCTTCACATCATTACTAGTACAGAGCCTTTCAGCTCTGCTTATCATTTCTTTGAGCCATCAGTCCAGAAACACATGGCAGGTAGATGTTGGTTGGTCCTTTGGTACCTTCTCTGCCCCCCTCGGTAAGGTGGGTGGTGGGGGGAAGGAGCTCATCTCACTGCTAATAGTCTCTGCAGAGGACTTTTAAATAATAATTAGGTGTAAGAGTCACAAGCATTATTTTAATCCTGACTGTTTCTTTTTTGCTGAAGTTTCTAATTTTAGAGGATCATCTTAGTGTGTCCTTCGCTGTTTAGATTAACTAAGAAAGTTCTTGCCTTTCATATCTGCTTTGTTTTGTTGGGCAATTGTTTAATTGGTGTTTATTTTAACAGCAGAATGACTTGCCCAGAAAGGATGTGTATTATCTTCCATGTGAAATGAAATTGCTTTTGTTAATTTACTCTCTTGTGGAACAACGCAATAAAGCAGTCTTCTCCTACACCTGCAGCCCCACAGCTCGTTGTTTTAATGATGCTGCTCCAGCCTTTGCTGTTACGCACTCCTTTGATATCCGCAGCCTCCTGCTTTTGCTGCTCCTCTCTGCTCTGGAGCAGAGAAGGGATGGGAACTTCTGTAACTGACAGTGCATATTTTTTACATTGCAGGAGCCTTCTTCCTCTATGCGGGGTTTGCTGCCTTGGGACTGGTTTTTATCTACGGCTGCCTTCCTGAGACTAAAGGGAAAAAACTAGAGGAAATTGAATCTTTGTTTGAAAACAGGCTATGTACATGTGGGATGGCAGATTCTGATGAAGGGAGGTATATTGAGTATATTCGGGTGAAGGGAAGTAATTACCATCTCTCTGACAATGATGCTTCTGATGTGGAATAATTTTCAGCTGCTGATGTATTTAATCATTTAAAAGCCTTCTGGGGGAAAAGCAGCTCTCTGATGACCTCACTGCCCTGCTTCTGGTCTGGTTCTCCTTTCTGCTGTCTAGATAAAAATGCCTTCATGTTCAAAAATGCTCCACTGGGGAGGAAATTCGATATGCTAGTGTTTTCTTGATAACTCAAAGCAATGGCTTCCAAAAGAGATTGCATTCCACGATTATGTGAATTCACCGAGGGTGCGTGATGCTGCACCATCTCAAGGTGTTTAGTAGGGTGCACAGTACCATGAATACAGAAGGCTATCCTGGATTGTCAGGGGTTGTCCTTATCTTCAATACTGACAAAAGATAAAATAATACAGTAGCTAATCAGAAAGCAGCCAACATCTGTCGGATCCCCATCCCATAGTAGCCTAGGAAATAGCTCTGCTGGGCGATATGAGTGACAAATGCACAAGTTGCTGTCACAGTAACCATTTAAAAGGTCTGATCAGGAAAATACAAATATCTGCTCTATCTATTGGAGGGAACATTTCCCTAATTTACCCTAAGAGAATTTCCATTTTTATTTATGTGAGATAACAAGTAGAGAGCCATACTCACCTAGGTGGAAGTTCATTAGGGTGGCGTACGTCCGTGCTACACCAGGTTTCCTAGCCACTGCTGCTCTTGAGTACACACTACAGTCGGGAGTTGGTGCTTGTGAGAGAAACTGCCAAAATTAACCACCTGACAGCAGGAAAACAGAACTAAGTATGTGGCCACATGTACAAACAAATGAACTGGTATATATTGCTAGGTACAATGTAGAGGCTTCAGTTAGTTGTAAAAAAAAATATTTTTGTTTTCCTTTTTTGCACTTGAATGTTTGGCTTCATGCCTAGTTTTGAACTCAAAATATCACTAGCTAGAAGAAAGAAAAGGAGGGGAGAGGTTGTGCACTGCTAAATGCGCGCTGGCCATCCCTCTTGCGCCTTTTGCTCGTGAATAATCATATTGCCTTCAGTTTACCTTCATATGTGCAGAGTAAATTAATCCCAGCACATTTTTCCTTCAAATGCCCTTAGTAAACCAGTATCTTGCTGGATCTGAAGAGAAATATTAGCAATGGGCCTAAGCCTACATCTCATATTAATTGCCTTACCGAAGCATTGCAAAATTGTCAAGAAAATGTCAGCCACAAAAATCAACTTGGCTGCTTTTAGCATGGTAGTGAAAATATTAATGGTATTTTATTCACCTGCCATGATTGCTTGCCTTGGCAAATTGAATTTTATGCAGCTACATAAAAACGTTATGGGTTTATTTTTCCTTGCCCTGTCCTCACGGCTTTAAATCTTCAGAGATATGAATTTGAAAGCATCAACAATTCAAATTCTTATCTTTGAGACATTTGTTTCATGATAGAGCATGGAAAACCTCCTCTGCCTGTGGACTGCCCCCCATTTGTTTGGTAAAAATCCATTTATTTTTCATTGTGTAAAGATTAAAGAAGTTGTTGGGTTCATTAGGTTTTATAGATTTGCTCTGTGGGCTTAGGTTGAAAAATATTTTGAATGTAGGATTAGTGTCAAAACTGAGACTGGACATTTGTTCTAAAGTATTTTTATTGGATAACTTGGGGTTTTGTTGTAGTAAAGAAGTCTGACATTATGTTATCTGATATTCTGGGGGGGGGAGTTCTTACTATCCAATTATTGACATTCAACAATTGGGTGTATTTTGCATTATTTTCTTTTTTACTTCATTAATCAAAGAAATATTATTGGAAAGAAAACATTTTAAAGCATCTTTCTGTGACTTGACTGGGACTAAAAGGGGAAAGCATAGCAGACAGAGGGAATTTCAAACAATTCATTGAGAAGAGCAGCTTGACCTTGAACATCTTGCGTGGTGAGAGGGCTGGATTCTCACACCTTCTGTCTTGCCTCCCCATCAAGCACACATATTTTTATGCTTGAGAGCATTAGTTGTTTCCAAATGCTCAGGTCTCCAGACTTATCTACAAATGCACCCACCACAGGATGTCTCCGTTAGGCTGTCACCTCTTTGAAACCTTCACAGAAGGTGCAGCACCTGAAGTGAGAAAAAGGGATGCTTGGCGCAGATGAGAACAAAATAGTTTCAAGGACAAGTTGGTTTCTTCTTGAAACCAAAAAATGTGTGTTTGAAGACCCTTTCGTTACCCAGAACAGCGTGTGAATAGGTGCGTAACGCCCCACTTGTGCTTACGTGGTTGACAGGTGTCTCAGTGGGTATTTACTGGCTTCTAGGAATAGGGGCTTATGGTTCCGATCCCCCCCAAAAGCATGAGCCTGTGCTCACTGTTACACCTCTGAACATTCCCTTGCATGATGGGTTTTGCTGGGGCAGGGTGTAAGCCAGGGAAGGTGTCCCTGTGCATGGAGCCGGTGCTGACCTCGCGCTTCGTCGCGCTTGTGTCCACAGGTAGAGGAAACAGCACTGGGCATAACCAAAGCAAGGTCACTGGCCAGGTCGCTGTCACAACATCAGCCTCTTCTGTTTTGCAGGCAGTGCTGGGGCTTCTTAGCAGCAGCAGCAGACCGTCTCTCTGTGCCAGCCTTGTTTCATGGATATTCTCAAAAGTGGCACTTAGTCGCGTACGGCCCTGGGCTCGTTTTCTCAACAAGCTCAATCTTACTGAAAGCAGTTTTATGGAGGTTTGCATCCCATGCCCTTTTTCTCGAGGTAAAATGATTGAAACGTGCATTTTATTCATCATTACTGCTGGCTATGAGGGTGCAAAATATATTGGCTTCTTTATTGTCATGCTCCCTTTCCCACCCACAGAGAGTTGGGTTTAAGTCTTCCTTTTAGTGTTGCTTTACCCCAAGACAACATTCCATACCTTGGAAACAGTGAACCTAGTACCAAGCATCATGTATAATAAAATGGGATCAATTACTTGAGATTAATCTTACGCAATTAGGGTTTTATTTTTAGAATCTGTGAACATTTATAGTGTATGAAGAAAATTAAATAAATGTTTCTATTTTGCAAAGATTTTTTATATTTGTGCATGTTTTAAGAAATTTTTGCTAAAGGTAGACTTAGTAACATTCCAGATAAAAGAATAAAAATATGGTGTAGCTGCGTAATTTCTTATGACAGGTTTTTAATTTATGAAGTAGCATAAATAGTATGTCTAAGCACAATATCGTTTTACTAAAAGCTTTCTGCAGAAAGTCCTTCACGAGGATTGCACACTTAATTCAGGTATTCTGTGCATCAGGAATGCTAGAGTAGTACTGCTGGTAGAGTTGGGCGTATTGATTACACACAACAAAATTTGAGATATTTTAATTCTGATTATTCTACTGACTCTACATGTTGTGATCTAACAGCAAGTATAAAAGAAACAAGTCCTGATGCATTTTTAATCTTTTAAAATGTAATTCACTTTAATTCACATACAGTAGTTTGTTCACTGTGTTGAAATTCAGAAGTGTTGGGGGGAGGTTGAGATAATTTGCCACTTGTTTCCTCCCCTTGTCACTTTGTTGATCAAAACCATCTTTTAACAGAAGAAGCAAATCTGTCTTGAAAATAGACATAGAAACAAAGCAAAGCCACAGGACTCAGTTGGAGGGCTGAAGTTGCATTGCTGCGCATGCCGCATGCACCTTTAGGTAGATCTCTCTCAGAGACGTTGCTACCTTGTGAGCTGCAGTGGCAGACCTGTCAGAAATTTTGGGACAAGAGAGGATACATTCCAAGGATCTTTGCTCCGACACTGACTTATTTTTGCATGAGGTGGTAAATGCAGCATTTCACTGGTGTAGGAGTTAGGGTTGGGAGGGGAGAAGAAAGAATCGGTGCATCGAAAGCCCCACGAAGTCATGTTTCAGAAGAGAAGGGTGTTGTAGCCAAAAGGAGCGGTCTCTGACTTGTCTCCCATCTGGGACAAGGGCAGTGGGACCAAGGGACTGTTCTTGGTCCTGTGGATGGGATCGGGGGGACCGTCAGACTCGGGGGGAAGAAGCACACAAGTGCTCCTGTCCCATGCCTACATGGAGGTGAGAGTTTTACAATGTACTTTGAAAAACTAGTACTTTTTTCCTTGTTGAAATCTCTTTTGTCCTTCTCAGTCACTTGGGTCAAGCACTGGGGAGAAGTTTTGACTCTCAGAGGCTGCTGCTGGCCCTGAGCAAGGGTCTTTCCTTTGGCCATGGGGGTGTTGGGCGCAGTCCCACAGGCATGCAGCAGGCTAATAAAAGATAGACCCTGTACCTCTTGGCTTTATACCCAATTTCTACTCCTCAATATCAACACTCTTCTAACATGATCTTGAAATTTTACATGAGAGGCTTTGTTAGCTGAACATCACTGTGCGAGAAAGAGGCAGAGTCTTCACAGCACAGAGAGATCTCGGGGTGGAAATCAAGGCAGAAGAGACAGTTCTGCAAAGCACTTTAAAGAGTAAGACATTTGTGCACTTTTTTCTGTGAGAGTTAAGCTAACCGAACCCATTCCTCTGCATTGGGAAGAAAATTGAGCTTTGTGTACCAGGCCAGAAGCAGATAATGCCACAATATGTGCTTTATGGCAAAATGTGTTTTTATTGCGGGTAACATTTACAGCTTACATGTAGCTGCTGCCTATAAAGTGACTCATTCTCTGGATTTTAACAAGTCACGTTTTTGTGCAGAGATCTTAGTGGTTTTCTATCGATCTTCATCGCCTTGTGTACAGTACAGTTCAGCATAATCCACGAAGTGGTCTAGGTTGTGGCAGTGTTACAAATGTCAGCACAGTAAAATCTAGGTGAACATTGTTAAAGAAATATTGTTGTTTGTGATACTGGGGGTTAAAACTCCTTAAAGGCAACTATATATAGATTTTAAAAGCCTGAAAAAAATGGCAATTCTTATCTATTTTGTGTATGTTTTCATATAGAGAAGGAGGTTTTTATGTGCCAATAACCATCACTGTAGTGTTTTGTAAATGGGTGTTAATAGTGTTCCAGAGTTCTGTATAT